TATGGTAAAAAATTTTTTCCCATTCCATTATTCACGAAAATTTACGTGATCATATGAGTGAGCTTCAGATCGGTTAACACAACTAATTCACTAGAACAGTGTAAAAATCGTCAAGGCCATTGAAAGCATATGCATATAAATGCTGTTAAACTTTGCGAACATTTTGACTTGATAATAAACGCTTAATTCTTCCACTGCATCTTTCTGTATTTTAGAAACCGAGTGACACTTAAAAGTAGAATTTAAAGATTATTGATTAGATGTTTACAGGTATATGCCATTTAATATCAGATTATTATGCTCCAGTTTGCTATATAAGGGTCTTTTATGCAATGCAATCACCAAACAGCCGATCACCTGCAACAGAAGAGAACAAGCCGTTAGTAACAGTATCTCGTCCATGCCAAAGTGACAAAATAACAAAGTGAAACTCTGCACCACTACATCTTTTACTCAGTACTAAAGTCAACTGATTAGAACTGTTCCAGTGCCTTGAATCCGTAGTAGAAAAATGTTCACAAACTCTCTCTTCACATAAGCAAACAGATGATACTTAGTATATCTAATTACGTAATATAACTGTTACTGGATCATATATTCGTGATATAGCCACTGGTATTAGCAAATATCTGTATTTCTTCAGTGAAATATCAATGAAGAAAGAAGTAACAAGTAGAAATTATTAATCTTTCAGAATTTGCTTTTAAGTAGCGCAAAAAAAACACTGGAAATGCTTAACAAGTATTCATGAAATATGAATAAAATTGTTTTACTGGAATAAATAAATGAGTGCGGTAAGTTCAAATTTCCGACAACATGAAAAGATAATAAAGTTCATCATAAATATTAGCCACAATAATGAGCTTGTTTTAATATCTTTTAAATAATTATTAAGGAAAAGTAATTTGTCTGAGTACTTACTATAGAAATTATGAAATGGTCTAACGGTATGAATTATTACTCTTCGAGCTACTTTTACATTAAAAAACGTGACTTTTCCTTGGTTGGTTTTCCGTTTTTGTCACGTTCCTAATTTCCGTATTTTTATTTAATTTTTTTTATGAATAGACAGAAAATTATTGTTAAAGCTCTAAGCTAATGGGTGTCTAACACTAATGAACATGTAGACATTGAAGTAAAATTCAAAAAGTGGGTGTCAATAAGGTTATTTCCACAGATTTAAACAAAGTTGAATGACCAACAAACAATGAAAACAAAATCCACTTAAGACAGATATGCATAGGTGATAAGTTGTCTGTTTTCGATAACTCCGATATGAGTCAATCACAAGATAGAGAAACCTAAATCTTTTATTTCTGGATGCTACAAAAACTTGTATTAAAAAGCTTATTAGATCGGAAATTACTTCTATAAAAGTTATATCGTGATGTGTAAATCATAGGAAAATTAATGTTTCACTATTTGTATAATTTACAAATGATTAAAAAAAACTGGACGGTTCATGTTGAAATTTTTTATATCTGAGCAGTTTCTCAACTACCCAAATGTGGCGTCAATAGGGTGTCTGTTGAAAACCACTGATCAGCGAAGATCACTATAAGAGATCTCTGACAAAGGTGTCATGAACTAGAGAAACATACTACTAGTGAACAAACTGAACGGTTATAAAAGACTCGGATCGATCTGTGGATTTCATCAACCAGCCAAATTAAAATAATATAATCACCAGACATTCGTTTCCCTCGTTTGAGGCCCAACTTGCAACTGGAAAACTACTCAGCTATGAGAAATGTCGACTTGTGCAATCTATGTATCATTTTGCACAGTGGTCATTCCATGCAAGTTAGCTGGCCAGATCCATGTGATCTAAACCTGTTCGACTGTATGAGCTGAGCTTATCCACTTTCGCCACTGATGAACTCGACTCCAAACAAGCGAAATGTCTGTCCACTCACTAGACCACTACGATCTGGCTGGTGAAATCTACAGATCAGCCTGAGTGGTTTCCAACTACTCGTCATTCAGCAGTAGTGTATATTGCTATTCGTTAATTTATGCTTGTAGAATATTCCAATAAAGTACTAATTGTTTCACATTTGTTCAACTTGCTGTTTCGTATTTCGATAGTCATCTTCGTTATATGGATGTTTTTCCACATGAATGTCAAAGAGAATTTAAAATTAGGCGGTCTCACTAAGGTTAACTATTTCAATGATAGATAATGGCTAGCAGTGGAACCCAAGACGCGAGTTTCGCCCTAGTTTGGACTCGTCAACTGGACGTAACTGTCTCCCAGTGAGCGCTGTTATTCCCACTAGGAACCAAACTTGGAGCCCATCGCTCCAAGCAACAGAGAGTTATCTATTAAACGTCGGAGTCAAGACTGCTAACGAGTCGCAAACATGATGAAATGCGATTCCTGGGTTACACTGTTAGCCAAACATAAGCAATACAATGGCATCCACTTAGGAGCCCATATACCAATAGGGATAGACCAGTTCGGTTCACGCAATGACAGGACAATACAAGAAACAATGTTAACTATTTCATGGTATTTCACAATGTGAGTTTGTACTTTTTTTAGCAGCAGTTAAAACTGCAGAAGCTAACAAAGAAGTATTTTATTCCAACTTCCGATTGTTAATTGACAGAAAGCCCATAACTGGTAGGAAAATATATATTTAAGTTGGAAGTCTTTAGTCAAAAATACAAACATGAAAAATAAACAACTAAGCACTAGTCTTCACATGCTTCGTGATACATAATGACTAGTTATGAAGGCGATATCATTTTTGAATGAGTTCAAGAAAATGATTTGATTTAGTGAATTAAAAGATCTTCAAAGTATTTAATTCCAGTACTAACTTATCAGGTGTACTGATAAAACATGCTTTGCACCGGTAATATTTCTCGCAGTTTGACATACAAGTGCTCTTTTATCTTAGATCAATGCTAACACGACAATAATAAGTATTTTACACTTATCGGTATATCACAAGAGACTATCCTGAACCCAAAATATTTTTGATGAGAATGACAAATGACACTGTGAAGAATCTTGGAAACAACTAATTAAAAAATCTATATAAAGTCAATTGTCAAAGAAATCTAGTAATCTTTCCCATACTCTATTTTTTGATTTTTGAATAACTCAGTGGCAACGTCTCCGACTTCTACACTGTGTAAACCAAGTTCCAGTCTCAGGAAGACATCACTTTCGTCAAGGTTGTAGATAGGCCTTGCTGATGAATATCAAAAAACACGAAACGTAGGTTCAAGACTTCCTGGCAGTTTCTTCCATCCAACTGATACTTCACTCAACTATTCAGATGAAATGGCATTCCTTTGAGTTTTTTTGTCTTTCAAAACTCGATTAGTTAACTTAACAGTTCTTCTGAAACAATAATAACTGTCATTAAATAATAAACGATGATTAACTTTCAGTTAGCTGGTGTATTTTCAATAGATTGTCTTATTCAAACTACTGGATTCACACTACGGGTCTGTCTTACCTTTATTACAAAAATCCTATCAACTAACTGGAAGTCAATAAACTATGTGATCTTTAATATACTACAACTACACTCATCAACATTGTTTACCAGTGTGAAATATTTTCAAGTACGACTTCAACGACCTCACATTAAAAAGAATTTGTTAGCGCCTCAGCTTCTGTAGTACTCTAATCAAGCTAGCAAGCTTATCCAAAGGTTATGGGTATCACATAACAATAGACATCAATAATTGACAGTGCTATCAGCACCAGTAGTAGTAGTGGTAAATCGTGCAAAATATTCCGATTTCAACAATCTCAAAGTGAAGTTAAACAAAATAAAACAGCATTCTGTCGGTCTCCACGGTAGATCTGTTAAGCAGAATAATCTACTTATCAGTATATCCTAAAGTTATCTTTGCTAGTGCGAAACACTGACGCTGAAGACTTTTCATATGCCTTTCATGTATCGACTACAAATAAGGTGTTCAATCTTCACTCTAACTGCATAATAATGAAATATCAATACTTTAGCATTACACCATAAATTCTGATGAAAGCATGTGAAAACTGTTATTACCTTGTAAATACTTTGTAGACATAAACATTATTTAAAATTGTTAAGTATAGTTTGAAGTTTGTAAGGACTTTATTTTTAAGACAATATGCATCACGGACTAACATCAACAGAAGAACTATTGAGAACCTGGGAGCACTGGAATGCTGTTTCATCTTAATATGGGACTCAGCCGTACGCACCAATGAACCCGTCAGGACTCCGGCCCAAAACCTTCAGGTTGCATGGCCACCAAGTTATCATTGAGCCACTGGGTGGGGATCCAATGGTCTACGAATTACCTACTTCTATCAGTTCACGATACAAAGTGACCTTAAACTAACCTCATGGTTAAGTAACTGTTCTAACTTCCAGCTTCATTTGCCCCACCGGTTACTTCAGGAATCTCATCTAGAAGCAACTCACCAACGCGTACTGGAGAGTAATTCAGTTTAGAGGTTTATAAGGACTTATTGATTTCAGGCCCGTAATCATCCTGATGAACTTGGGTTTGATACCTCATATGTGCACTGCTGAGGAGTTACATACTGGGATGAAATACCTGCACAGTCTCCCCAACTTTTGGATCGCTCTCTAACTGATGTCATTCCAAAATGAGATCACTTTATTGAGAAGCTTAACCTTGTTTCAATGTAGCACTATGTAACTTTTTCCTTTGTTACTTTTAAACGTTTGACTTTTCATCACTTTTCCCGAAGATATAAAAAATAATTTGAGTGATAACAAAAGCTGGAGATAAATAATCAAGTTCTAAACACATGGATATTAGACTAATCCTGTTCAAGAACTCTATGTGTAACTGAGTTCGGCTGTTTGGTCGCCACGAGTGACATGACTTAAAACCCCGTTTATCAACATACACCTTTGAATTCAGGTGGACAAATTAATAAGATGATTACGTGAAGGCCGTATAGCCCTCGAAAAAATTAATTTTTTTAATCAAGATATTTCATCAATGAAATAACTTACCAATTCATTTCAGCACGGTGGTGAATGAAAAAATCTGTAAAGTATATAAACTACTCAGTTAGTTCCTGTGAAGAAATGTTGACAATATTCAAATGATGAAAATATTTTATCAGTAGAATAGAATGTTCAAAGTATCATACTTGATATCATCAGTGGTAATCGCGGAATATAAAAGATAAGTATGTGGAAATCTGAAGTCACGCTATCGTCCTCTTTTCTATTCCACGTCTGATTAACATGACATACGTTGAAGAGAAATGTTCAAATCTAATACAGTCATTCATACTATGTTTCATGCATATGCAATACATGGACAGTGAACTGAATATGTAGCTATCTGTTCAACTGTCAATTGGTTCAATTTGTTTAAGTCTCTGACTTCATGTTTGTTCCTCTTCTTGTAGTGAATCGATCTCCCTTCAGTTTTGATTTCAGATTTATTCTCCTCACTGTTAACCATACACATGTACACAATTAGAAATACACATACAGACGTGTACAAATCGGGTACATAAATCTGTAAAAAAACACCAGTTAGACTCCCTTTCTAAATCATCTAATCAAGAAAATATACCCATTTATGATAAATTAATCACAACCCTTTAATCTGATTGGTTCGCTTAAACTAAGAAATAATTGGTAACTTTTAAAAATTATTACCAAACTGATAAAAAGTAAATATTTACCTATATAGGATATTTGATTTTGGCGGAAAGCAAATATTCGCCTGCTTCAACTATTGATATAGTTCAACAAATGAATAGATTGCTTATTTTTTGTGATTCCGGTCGACTGATTTTCAGAAGGAAAATCTATACTGAAGTTTGTCTTTGCATTTCTTTGGAACAAGGGGTGCAGGATCACTTTGAGGGTTGTTCTAGGTATGGTAAATTCCAGATAAATAACAGCCAAATATCACTGCGCCTAATCTGATTTGAAGACTATAGCGGAGTTTATACGAGCAACAACATAAAAACTATACCCATCACATAAGAAGTGACAATCGTGACTGGATGGCCTGATGAGCAACGTTCTAACATTTGAAGCGATCGGTCCTGCTTTCGAGACTTAGTGGGAACAACATCACTTACTAGGGTGCAGTACATCTAGCTGACGAGTCATAAATATGACAAAACGTGCGTCTTGAATCCCACTGGTAACCACCACCAGCCAGATTACAATGTTATGTTAATGCTTATTGATGCCACAAACAAACCATTTTGATCTAGATGGCAGAATCTGTAGACGCAAGTGAACGGTTTTGAACTAATGATGTTGTTGAATAGTATATGTATTTCAGAACAATACAGAAAAATAATACAGGAAAAGAAATACAACTAATTGCAACCTAAACTATTTAGTGGAGATGTGATCCAGTAGATTTCGATTCCAAGGTATTCGAGTATATCTGCAGATCCTAAACAATATGACTCAGTACGAAAATCCTAGAGGAATCTCCCATAGTCACCGGTTTGGATTACAGTCTAGCACACTAACCACAGAGACATCAGATGAGTACTACTCAAAGCTCTTCAGATATTACAGACATGTTTCAGAAAAAAACGATCATGGCTACTCCGTCAAAATACTGAAGCGTGTAGATGACTTCGACTGTTATCGCATTGAAATGGTGGTATTGCCTTGTAGTATACCTGTACGAGTGAAATTTTGAAAAATAACCTTAAGCTTCAACTCTGAGGGTCAGACAGTTCCTCAGTAGCAGAAAGAGGCAGCAAAATATCAAAATTTTAGTATGGAATGAAACATGTACAAGAGGTAACGGTTAAATACATTTCTAATGACCTTGACGTGTTCTACACTCCTCTGAAAAGCTCTATAGCGAATCTGAGACTCACATGTATGATCACGTGGATTTTTGTAAGTGTTCAGCATGCCATAATTGCCTATGGGAGCTTTTCAGGAAATTCCAGGCTTCTTTGAAGAATCTAGAAGATGTCTCACTCCATACCAAGTAGTTGATTCGATGAGCCCTTAATTTCATAGTCAAAAATGTATCAAATTGATTAGCTGATCAGTCAAGATTAACCATAAATAACAATTGGATTCTTTCAAGGTCAAGAGGAATGTTCGGTACTGCTTGTAACAGACATCCACAAGTGATGCTGAAGAATGGTTATTCTGCATCAGATGTGAACTAGAATTGAAACGGTGTAATTAACAAATTTTCTTTACCCACATGAACAGTAATCGAATCCTCATGAAAGAAATTATCACTGAGTTTAAAATCAGAAAAAATTGAGAAAACATCCGTAAAAGTCACTTACCAAACATTTGTGTGTTGAAATGAAAAGGAGTCAAAGCTGAAGATGAATATTAATCGATCACTGTGAATGATACAACGCATGAAACTGGGAAAGTTATTATAAATCTACCATCCTAGTTATCGAGCTCACATCCATTGACTTCAATTTAGTAAACTGTTATAGTAAAGTCAGTAAAAAATCTCGAAAAGGTTGTGGGGATTTAGAAATATTTCAAGTTGGTATTCATCGTGGACTGACATTAGTTGGAGGAACAATGGAAACCTGGGAGCACTGGACAGCTGCTTCGTTCTCGTATGGGACTCCTCAGTAGTGCACACCCACGACCCCGCCAGGGATTGAACCCGCGATCTTCACGTCCTGTGGCCAGCACGTTACCAGTGAGCCACTGGATCGGAACTCAATGATCCAAGGTCTTGGGTTCGATCCCTGGCTGGGTTGTGGGTGCTCACTGCTGAAGAGTCCCATACTAGGACGAAACAGCTGTCCAATGCTCCCAGGTTTTCATTGTTCCTCCAACTGATGTCAGTCAACTTGAAATAAAAAGTCTATCGTAAATAGGGTAATTAATGTGAAGACTGAAGGAAATCAGCACATTTTAAAGCTGTTTTTTATTTCAACATAAACGCTCTGAAGGGGAATTAGACAATTACTGAAATCTAGCTCATAGGTTAGTATTAATCTTCATCACTTCTAATCCTGACAAAAAGAATTAGCGCATAGTTCTACAAAGCTAGAACACATTTGCACTAGTCGAACTCTGAGTACTCTGAGTACTTAATCAGCTGATAATTACTAGAGATTAAATTGACTTCTGAAGAAGTAAGAACTGAATTTCTTTCTTTACACTTCATTCTAATGCTCATATAACTCAAGCAATCGTATTTCCTCCGGAGGTTTATGGGGACTGTTTGATTGATTCCGAGGTAGTATTCATCACAGACTGACATCTCAAGTGACAAATCAATGCCCGATTGCGGATACTGTTCATTGAATAACTGAAAGACACAGAAGAAAAGATGGAGGGAGCAAGATTTACTGTTCCCGAAAAAAAGGCAAAAGAATAACCGAAAATTCAAGTGTTTACATAATTATTTTACTGGACCAATAACTGCCAAGTTTAGTAACGAAAAATTATCTTCTGCGTTACTGGTTATTCAGAAACTAATAAAATCTTAATAGCATGATTTCTGACCTAGGTTGAGGACCTGTGTATTGATTGGTCACGGGAGTGCAACCAATTTCATGTTGTCTAGTCCTGAGTGCAGATCGAATTCTACCGATCATATTTGCAATGTGGCAACCAAGCTAGGAAGCTCAGCATCGCGGTGCACATTAGTAGATGTTAGTTGGTTGGAAGCAGTCAGTTCCGTCAAGGTTGCAGATACGCCTTGCTGACGAGTGCTATAAAGCACGAAACCTAGGTCCAGGGTTGAGGACCTGTATTTTATCTATTTTGAGGATAATGGGGATTTGTTTTTTTAAAGTAGCTGTCATTACTGACTGATCCTAGTCAGGTCGTGTGTGCTTACTCCTGAGTAGTCTCATACTAGGACTAAACAGCAGTCCACTTATCCTAGTTTTTCACTGGTTCTCCTATTGATGTCAGTCAAAAGAATAACTGTCAGTAGTTGCTTAAAAGGTTTCCACTTTATCAAGATCATTTTGGATAGAAAAGTTTTTGAAAACAAGATTTGAACTGAATGACAGTGAGAGCTAATCTTATTCTATCCAGTTAGTAATACCACACTAGATCTGAAGGCGGTGTGGCCTTCAAAAAGTTTCTCACAGTTTTTTCTCAGCATTCAGTACATTCTCACAAGAAAAGAAATTTTTATTGACTGATACTTGTAATTTCCCGTTATTGTTCTGAATCGAATAAAACGACCTCCTTGGGCATATGGGCTGTAGTTTGGATGCCTTAGCATTACCTGGTTAATCGTTTGATTTTGAACTGCTAGGTACATGCGTTTCACCATATTTGGGGCCTCTTAGTTGGATGTACCTGTCTCCCAGAGTGGTGTTGCTCCCACCGAGACTCGAACCCATCACCTACCGGTTCAGACATCAGAGCGTTATCCACCAGGCCGATGGGGAAAGGGAAGACGAGTTATTTTTGGGCTTAAGTCCCAGAGTGAACGTCATCACGCACTGGGTGCAGGTAGATTTAGCTGACGAGTCCCAAATGGGACGAAACATGCGTCCTGAGTTCCAGTGCTTGAGGATCCACTATTTTGTATCGTGCACAGACCGTCAGCACACTTGGATCACATGAAGGGAAATTTCTTCGATGATATGTGATATACTTACTTAAACATTAGATTAGCTATGATAACCGCCCATCAAAGCAGTATAATACCGAAGGTATTTGTGTAGAATTTTACTCGTTTATGCTGTTAGGCAAATTGTTTTTAGAAAAATATTCTTTAAACTTGGATCTGTAGCTATTAAATGCTTCGTAGAGTAAGTTTTTTTCATGAAAATTCTTTACTCCAGATAGACACTGCTTGACTGGTTTATTTGCCTGTTTGTTTTGTTCAAACAGTAAATCAGTGTATTATTATTTGAATAAGTTGTTTGTTTAGTTGTCCGTGTATATTGCTGTCAATAATATATACTGAATGCACACATACACTTCAAAAGGTAACTGATGAAAACACTGGGTGTACGAAATCATACCGACAGAAAATCTCTGGACTAGATTCATCATATAATTTAACAGCCTTAAGGCATTTTTTACTGTTTGTAGTAATTCAATGAATAACGATATTCTGCAAAAATGTTTCCTGTGTCTATGGCTACGCTTAACAATTATTAAATATAGTTTGAGGTTTATGAAGATTTTAGTTATTTTTAAGGCAGCCTTTACCCTGGACTGACATCAGTTGGAAAACCACTGAACACTCGAGGGTACCGAACAACTATTCCGTCCTAGTTAAGAGTTACCGCATTCTCCATATAACCTAAACTCCCTGAGTTCGATGCCCACTGCTGAGAAGTCCTATACTAAGACTAAACAATCGTCCAGTGCTCTCAGGTTCTTAATATCTCTCTAAGTGATATCAGTTCATGATGAATACTAACTTAAAATAACTATTAAATATCTTTATTTGGTAAGAAGACAGCCTGCTGCATACTGTCAGTTAGTTTTGTTCAATTTGTAAACTCTTTCGTGCAATTAGTCTTCACGGTGACACACAGCAAGTTCAGATCTAGATGGATCAAGGTAGATGTCCACATATCAGTCACTAGATGTCTACCG